GAAGGTCGGGTAGTAGCGGACAGCAGTTAGTATCGGACAAAAGTTGTTTCAAGCATTTGCCGCTGAAGGCAGCACCTGTGAAACAATCGGCGTGTTGACTGAAGGAGTTGACTACCTCACTCCTTCAGTCAACACGCCGATTGTTTCACAGGTGCTGCCTTCAGCGGCAAATGCTTGAAACAACTTTTGTCCGATACTAATCGCTGTCTGCTACTATCCAACCTTTCCTTATAGCATTGAGCGCTTTCAGTGCTATACTTATAACTGCAATCAGTGTATATTCACTGTTTTCAGTGGTGTTTGACTGATTCACTTTAAGAGAGTAAGATAATGAATTATCGGAAATTAATGAAGTTATATTTGTCAAATAACGACGGAATGTGCCAGCCTAAATTCCAACTCAAGTAAATTCATGAAATGTCCGTTAAAACCTTCCGTATAATAAATGATTCGACACACCTTGAAAATATATGATGTATTGTTGCCCGCGTCCTCGACTCCTGCATCTTTCATCCTGGCGCAGCATCCTGGTTGCTCCAACGTGACGCCTGACACTGACACTCGCGCAGATACGATTCGATCGAAGATACGCATATTAAATAACGCGATGTTGATAAGAATCTGATTAAGTATTTCAATAGCCGGCGAAATATTTTAATCACCTGAGAGAGGAATGATAAATAATGTATCGGTGCTCGTTGTGTATCGTCGTGTACTCGTATTGGTCGGTTCGAAATGTAATGAACATCCACAAAAGCGTACGATGCACGAAGATATATTTGATCACCTTGAAGATCTGGAATGTTTTGATTGTTGTGATCATTCGACGTTCGATAACCAACAACGACTGTTGACGATTGATAAGAGGGGATAAGTTTACCTTTCTTGGGTTGTTTTGATATTCTTATGCGTCACATATTTCTTTCCACTCTCTAAATTTTTTCAAGTGGAAAGTGGCAGTATTCTTTCATTTAAAACAACAATGAACTCTTTAAATTTTCTGGAGTGAAAAGTGGCGATAGTAAAAATACTGCCACTCGTAATCGCAAGAGTGAATGCTCCGCTCAAAATCAGAGTGGATTCTGACTCCGTACGAGCGGATGTTTTAATCGACCGAATATGTTCTTCTGACAGTGTAACGCATCAGATTCACTCTTCAGTTTTCAGTAGAAATATTCACTCAACGACTCAGAGTGGATAATTCGCTCTATAGGAGCGAAAGATGACTCGAGTGACTCGGCTGTCCCTCCGCTTTCCAAATGAAATCTCACTCCAGGAAATTTAGGGAGAAGATACTCGATATTACAAGGGTGAATGTTTCACTTAAGATTTTGACTATTAATAACTATCAATATTATGACTATTAATTAGATTGGATTCTGACTGCATATGAGCGGACGTTTCAATCGATTGAATATGGTTTTTTGGCGATGGAAGGCGTCAGATTTACTCTTCAATTTCGAGTAAGAACATTCACTCAACGACTCAGAGTGAAGAGTTCACTCTACAGGAGCGAGAAATAACTCAAATTCGAGTGAAATTTCACTCTAAAAAATGAAGAGAGTATTTATAATTGAGCGTTATATGACATTGTATTGCAAAATGTTTCTGCTTTTTGCAATAATTGAATTCTCGTCGGTGTAATGTTAATTAACATACGTTTCTCCGATTGAATCATATCTATGCGAGCGTCAATGCCACGAGCTAGTATTCAGTGTGTCATAAAAGGACAGCCAGGAGCAGAATGCTGAATCAGGAAGACAAGACGGAGGATGTAGGACGCAAACAAAGAATACATCGTGTATTTCCGGATGTATTGAGCGGCACAATGTTGTCGCGACATGAATAAATAATAGACGTATATACATATCTATTGTATGTGCCCTCTAAATTCCTTGGGGCAAAATTATACACGAAAAAATGGAATGACAGCTGAGTCACTTGGAGTGATTTCCCGCTCTTATGCAGAGAATTCTTTCGCTCTATATCGTGTACGAAAAAAAGATTTGGTTGAATTAACCAAATATCTGGTCGAATATGAACGATCCGATTCCGATTGAAGTAACTCGAATTCTGTTTAAGTCAACCAAAAATCTTGTTAACTTAACAGAATTGTTAACAGAATTCGGGTTACTTCAATCGGAATTTCTGGATCGTTCATACACGGAGAAAAATAATTTGCTGGCCCAGCAAATTTTCTGCTGGTTTAGCAAAATCTTTTCGTTACTACACTGAGAGAAGAATTTAGTAAATATTATCAAAATTTGGTTACTATTACTAAATGGTAGACGTAAATATAGCGGGCCAAAGCTATGGCAATACTTATTAATTAATTTAGTTCTGTAAAATAAATTATTTATTTGACAGAAGTAAAATTTATTTGATTCCAGAATATATTTGGTAAATAAAACTTATTGAATAGTTGAGCAAAATAAGCGATTTTGTAATAGTTACAAAATTTTTGGTAGGTTCAACCAACCATCTGTAATAATAGATATTGAAACGATGTAATAGCTGCAAATGAATGAATTTTTCGTTGTGCTACAACAAAACATACTTATACTGATAACAAAATAGAACTCGTACCTACTGAATTTTTTACTACATGGGATATAACAATTTCATAACAATTATCAAATATCTGTTCATAACTGTAATATATTTCATATTAAATATTTAACATTAAATAACTATTACTAAATTATTTAATTGATGTTACTGTGAATGCAATTACGTCATACTCCCAATCTATTAAATATTTGGCAATTATTATCATATTTAGTATTAGTTACTAAGGATCCAACGAATTTCTGTAATTAAATGCAGTTTGTTATAGTTACCAGTCTTTTCTCTCAGTGTATATGGACAGCAAAAAGATTTGCTAAAAGTACTAATTACTATTTGCTGAATCTACAAATTATTTTGCTATAAGAACCATGATGGATTTATATAAGCAGCTGCAGTTTTGCTCCGATAACAAATAAATTTGCTAAGGACACATTATTTTGCATCGATAGCAAATTAACGTGATTCTTAGGACAAATACACTCAACAAATTTTTTTATTCTGGCAACAAAACTACTTCTGCTCTGTTAACGAATCATTTTGTAAAATTAGTTACGGCAACTAAATTTTTTCGTTGTCACTACGAATATGCAATAGCAACGATGAGTTTGCTAAATGAGCAAAATTATTTTTCTCCATGCGATTACTCCAAATTAATTCCACAAATTAATTCCAAAAATTTTCCTATGTCACTACAAATATGCAGTAGCAACGACGACTTTGCTAAAAGAGCAAAATTATTTTTCTCCGTGTAGTTATATTATTACCTATTAACGCATATACAAAAGAATATATACTGCATGCTTCTTAAAAAAGGTCGCATCGCGATACACAATTTCATAAAACGCACATCCCTATTAATCAGGCGATTCGACTCCGACTTGCGGGCATATTAAAACACGCGCGCCTCGGGCGAGGTGAGGATAATCGCATCGTTCTCTTTCTCTCTCTTCCTCTCCTCTCTCTCTCTCTCTCTCTCTCTCTCTCTCTCTCTCGACGGCGAACGATCATCGATAAGATTACGGTCGACATGCTCGCGTGGGATCGGTCGGTTCAGCCGGGACGAAGTCAGTTCGGGCGGCGGCTGAAACGCGACGGAGGTCGCAGAGAATACCCGAGGACAGGAGCGTGCAAGCCCGATATTATATTACGTAATAGCACAGAAAGCCACGTGTCGGCGTTCGGAGCCCCGGAATGAAATTCATTTGGAACAGCGCGCCCCGAATCTCTCGATTGTCGACTGCGGGGCGCGCGCTGGAAAGAGGGGCTCGAGATACGCGTCGCTCTACACGTAGCTACGTGGGTTTCATCCCTCTCGAGTCAACAGTCACAATGCGCCGCACCCCGCAACACGGTGGTACTGAGCCTTAATCCGATTATTCCTTTCGAATCGGCGGGCACACGGCCGACGTGAGCACGTGAGCCTTCGTCGTCGTGTCGACGGTTTTATGTCGCCGTTAACACCGCGAGACACTTTACACGAGAGACAGAGGCATAAAAATAGGGCCAAATAGGAAGTCACGAAAGAATTTCCTCCACGATACAGAGTAAAAGAATCCCCTCCACACGGAACAAAAGGTTTGGTCGAATTAACCAAATATCTGGTCGAATACGCGGGGAAAAATAATTTTGCTCTTTTAGCAAAATCATTGTTGCTACTGCATATTCGTAATGACATCAAAAAAATTTAGTTGACGTAACTAATTTTGCAAATTATTCATTACTGGAACAGAAGTGGTTTTGTTGCCAGGATAGAAAAAATTTGTTGAATGTATTTGTCGTAAGAATCACGTTAATTTGCTATCGATGCAAAATAATGTATCCTTAACAAATTTATTTGCTATCGGAGCAAAACTGTAACTGCTTATATAAATCCATCATGGTTCTTATAGCAAAATAATTTGTAGATTCAGCAAATTATATCTAGCAAATAGTGATTAGTACACTGGGAGAAAAATTATCTAAAAATCAACAAATATTTCTTTGATGGGTGCCATTAACATATTTATTTTCATTAACATATATATATATATATATAAATTCTCTTTATTTAAACCAAATATTGTTTACTTAAATCAGGTAAGCAATATTTGATTTAAATAAAGAAAATTTAGATTTAAGTAAATACATTAATGGCACCCATAAAAAAAATATTTATTGATTTTTAGATAATTTTTCTCTCAGTGTATCTCAGCAAATCTTGCTGTCCATATAATAACGAAAAGATTTCGCTAAACCAGCAGAAAATTTGCTGGACCAGCAAATTATTTTTCTCCGTGCAACAAATTAATGCAATTTTTATATTCAACGTATAAAATATATCAGAAACATTTAAAATACTGTTTAATAACGACACACTATCCACCGAATTTCAATGCAGATTACAGAAGAGAGTCATTACAGTGTGACATTTTTTTATTCTAAAGAATCGGTAACCGCAGTTGTGTCGCGTAGTAGCAAAACAGTGCTCGACGTCCCGTGATTGTAAAAGAAAAATCGGTTTACGTCTCTCCTTCCCCCTTCTCCATCACTGTCACTACTTTTTCTCTTTGTATCTGTTGTCGCGCGTTGAGATGATTTTCGTGCGTTCGGAGAGCGTGACTCGATTTCCAGAGCTCGCGGTCGCGCACGCCGTGGAAACTGACAATCGACAATCGACGAAAGACGATTTTATCGGCGTCGCATCTCGCGTCGCTAATTATCGCGAATATTGTCGGCGTGCGCGAGCCGCTGCGCGCCGCACCGCGCCGCGCCGACCGCATCACGCTGAATCATCCGAGCGGCTTTATTAAGCTCCGATGCACCTGCGATCGAGGCGGAAGCGATGCATTCCCATGAAATCCTGCCACCCGCAGGAAACGACGCGTCCTCGTACGCGTAAGGACGCATCACGGCTTACGTACAGGGAAGAAGACCAACAAGAAGAAACGAAGAGACACGACGTGTACGTCCGCTGAGTTTCTTCGGCTGAAATTCCACGAAAATAGTATGACAGCCGAGTCACTCGAATTTGAGTGATTCTTCATTCTTGTTTCGGATTCGTCTTTTGTTCGTGGGGACATACTTACTCTTAAAGTGAATCAGTGAAACATCATTGAAAGCAGTAAATATACACTGATTTGCAGCTAAATAACAGCACTGAAACTGCTCAGTGCTATCTTTATAACTGATATCAGTGACTATTTCACTAATTCACTTTAAGAGAGTAGAACGGAAACGATTGAAGTGAACACAAAAGTCTTATACCGTTTTGCGATATTCGCAATAAATCTTGAGATGTTAATTGAAGACGATTGATGAATGATCACGCGCGATATGGTAAATGAGCTGTAGTGGCGATGTGTGCTGTCGTGTGCTTGTACTTTAGATCAAACTGAACAAAAAAGTCCTGTATCACTTTGTAAATAACCACGTAGATTTTTAGTTATTAATGAAAGAAAATTGTTACATGATTGTGCGCGATATAGCAAATTTTCTTTAAGGCCCCTCGCATTGTTTATCTCTTTTTAATGATATTAGAAGCGAGAAAATATATGCTAAAAATTCTTGTAAAATACGTTAAAATAAAAATATACATTCATAAAATAACACTCGCAATCGATTAAACAAATTTGTAAGATATTTCATGCACTCCCCTTTTGCTCTAACAATCAATAATTTGTCGTAAATTAACGTGACATACAATTCATCTTCTTAACCTATTTCTGCGCTTATTTCTATTCAGATTAATTTACAATAAATTATTGATCGTTAGAGCAAAAGGAGAGTGCACGGAATATCTTACAAATTTGTTTACTCGACTGCAAGCGTTACTTTGGATACATATTTTTATTTCAATGTATTTCGCAGGAATTTTTAGCATGTATTTTCTCGCTTCTGACTTCATTAAAAAGAGATAGACAATGCCAGGAGGCTTAATTAATATCTAAAAATCTATACAGTCATTTGCAAAATGATAGAGGGATTTTTTGTTCAATTTCACCTAATGTATAAGTGAATATATAGCATACAGCATCTCTACAGTACATTTCACACCATATCACGCGTGATCATTCACTAATCTTCTTTAATTAATATCTCGAGATTTATTACGAATATCGCAAAACGGTAGAGTTTCTCAGGAGTGCAAGAGGAGAAGAGGCCCGTACTGAGAGAAATTATCCGATAAAAAATTAACAAACGGATACCTCTGATCAAAATAACGATGAATTTTTATATCTGATTAGGATATCCAATTAAATTTAATCGAATACTTCCGATTATAATAGCATTTCATCAAATAAACCGACCAAACAATTATGAACCGATATTTCTCATCGGATGTTTCCTGATCGGGAACGAAAATTCATGAGTATTCATGAATATTATCAATTGGTATCAAGTACATTTTCTCATAAGTGAAACTTGGTTCAAAAAAGATTGGAAGATATGTTTGGAGGCAGAACGCATCAATCTTCACCCCCACGTCGTTGCTATTTTCCGTGGGAGCTGGACTAACAAAGTCTCCAGCGTAATCACACGGAATGTAAGTCAATCGTCGATCTCTTGGGGGGGAAAGAGTACAAAAGGAGTAGCGTGTAAGGTAAAAAGCGCTGCTCTCAAATCGAACCCACCGGCATTCCCATTCGATGACGAGACGACGACCTGTGCTATTACAGGTGAGCGGGCATCGCCGGCATGCGCTACCAAAACTCCACGGCGCGTTATTGTACCGTAACCCTTGTCATCGGCTGTTCTCATGCATCAATAATCGTAGTGACCCACGTAACTCGTGCTTGAATTCGGAGTTCTGCGCCGGAACAACGTGAAGCACACGGAAATCGGCTCGCGCGTCTTAAGGGGATGCTGAAGCTGAGAGAAAAATGTATGATATTTGGAACTATAATGGCATAGTAAAAAGATTATAGTTAGAAATATAATTTTTATAGTAAATGTTACCATATTATTTAATATTTACAATATAAGCATAGTATAACTGACCCGTATAAAATGTTTACCAAGAATTATAATTATTTGAAATAAAAAATATAGTAAGGTAGCAAATATTGAATGGTAAGAGAAATTAACTATTTTATATAGTTAATACAATTGGAATATTTGACAAATATAGGTACATGTAACTATATTCCCAAAAGGTGCTTTACCATATATATAGAATAATAAGATGGTGACTATAAATCTGTGTTCATTCTACTATATCTTCATGTTTAGATGAACTATAAATATATGTTTGAGGCCAAAACGAACTATAAAATATAGTGAGATTATAGTTATTCCAACTATTTTTTTCTCTCAGTGTGAAAACTTTACCGACAGAACACCTTTTACTGCAAAGTTCACATCGTATTAGTTATACAGAATTACAAATGCTTTTGCGCAGTAGAAGTATGTGCAAAAATAAATAGGAGCATTGCTCGATATGTGACGAAAACGAACAAAAAATTTTTTATGTAAAATCTCAAGCTGGCAGTTAGCGTAATATTTGCCTAATCCAAAAGTTTTGCAGCTTGTACATATCGAAAGTCCCGAACAGAAAAATTTTGAAGAACATTGCTCTACCTTCGCATCTGCATTTGGAAACTTAAGGATATCGGAAAAGTTTGCAGAAAGATTTCTACACATATATGGTTGGGTTTTCCATTGAATATGGTAAAACAAAGTAACACACATTCATGTAAGTTCTGTATATACAAGAAATATGAAAAGGATCGTGTAATTATGTTAGTGACGATCGTCTCTGCATTATCGACGTTGTTCGAGTTCGTTATCGACTCCAGCATCTCCTTAAGGGGATGCTGAAGCTGAGAACTTTAATATTTGCCTAATATTTGCCTAATCCAAAAATTCCGCAGCTTGTACATACCGAAAGTGTGGATGTTCCGAACAGAAAAATTTTGAAGAACATTGCTCTACCTTCGCATCTGCATTTGGAAACTTAAGGATATCGGAAAAGTTTGCAGAAAGATTTCTACACATATATGGTTGGGTTTTCCATTGAATATGGTAAAACAAAGTAACACACATTCATGTAAGTTCTGTATATACAAGAAATATGAAAAGGATCGTGTAATTATGTTAGTGACGATCGTCTCTGCATTATCGACGTTGTTCGAGTTCGTTATCGACTCCAGCATCTCCTTAAGGGGATGCTGAAGCTGAGAACTTTAATATTTGCCTAATATTTGCCTAATCCAAAAATTCCGCAGCTTGTACATACCGAAAGTGTGGATGTTCCGAACAGAAAAATTTTGAAGAACATTGCTCTACCTTCGCATCTGCATTTGGAAGCTTAAGGATATCGGAAAAGTTTGCAGAAAGATTTCTACACATATATGGTTGGGTTTTCCATTGAATATGGTAAAACAAAGCAACACACATTCATGTAAGTTCTGTATATACAAGAAATATGAAAAGGATCGTGTAATTATGTTAGTGACGATCGTCTCTGCATTATCGACGTTGTTCGAGTTCGTTATCGACTCCAGCATCTCCTTAAGGGGATGCTGAAGCTGAGAACTTTAATATTTGCCTAATATTTGCCTAATCCAAAAATTCCGCAGCTTGTACATACCGAAAGTGTGGATGTTCCGAACAGAAAAATTTTGAAGAACATTGCTCTACCTTCGCATCTGCATTTGGAAGCTTAAGGATATCGGAAAAGTTTGCAGAAAGATTTCTACACATATATGGTTGGGTTTTCCATTGAATATGGTAAAACAAAGCAACACACATTCATGTAAGTTCTGTATATACAAGAAATATGAAAAAGATCGTGTAATTATGTTAGTGACGATCGTCTCTGCATTATCGACGTTGTTCGAGTTCGTTATCGACTCCAACATCCCCTTAAGCGCGTCTAAAGCGATATTCTGAATTTGATTCGCCGAGAAACGTCGTGCTTTCCAGGTAGGGTTACGTTTATTTTGGCGATAGGACGCTTAAAGGAGAGATAATTCGTGAGTACATCGCGCTTGGGTAGATCGATCTTCTCGCACCTGTACAATCATCGCTGTGTTTTCCCTAATATTTGATCGTCCCTGTTGACAGAAGTGTGTTTCGTTTCATACAACACACACGCGCATACACGCTGCTTTTTATCACGTGTGAGTAAACATGCTATATTATTAGTTATCGCAATTTTTAACTCGGTCGAACATGTAAAAAGTATCGAGTCGTTTTTAAATCGCATGCCGTTTATTCGCGGTAAAGTATTTAATATTTCACCGTGTTCACTTTATTTTTATCTTTTACTAAATATTGACGTTAGACTTTAACAAGAATATTAAACATTGGAATTCTGTCAAAGTACCGGCGAAACAAATTTTTTCAAGTAATTTTGCTTGAGTTTACAACAAAGGATAATTTAAGTTTTTGTTGAATAACCCGAAAACGGAACTTTTCAATTCGTCGAAGAAACAAAAATTGACGACGCACACGGAGAAGATATTGTAGCCAAAATTACATTGAAATTATAACTTTTGTCACAATATTTTTCGTAAAGCTTGAATTATA